ATGTTTTGCGTTTGCTTCAAAAAAGTTACATCACACTATCTCCTGTTTATTAAACCTCCTTGGTTCCATCAATCAAAGCTCATTTTTGCTTGACCCGTCATTCAACAAAGTTATCTTTTCACTGTATCTGTCTCTGCATGCTCTAAAAACTTTTATTCCTCAAGTTTTTTAACCCTTTTTAAATTCTTTTAATTCTAATTTGTTTTAACCCTTTGGAACTCTCTCCCACTTATATGTTTTTCTGACTCATACAGGCTATAAATTTTAATTTCAAAAAATCTCCTGCCAACGGTTTCTAGTAACTCAAAAAGTGGTTACTTGCAGTCTTATTGGGAGTGAATTTGAATAAATAAAAAACTCAACTTTTTTATTTCTTAGACAGGGTGCTATCCTGGTGTTTACTTTTCTTTTCTAGACAGGGTGTTATGCTGATGTTTAGTATAACTTAATTATTTTTTTCTTAGACAGGGTGTTATGCTGGTGTTTAGCATAACTTCAAAAAAAAGTTTCACATTGATTGAACAACTTAAAAGTGATATTGAAAAAGTTAGAGGAAAAGATGTATGTTTTTTTTTTTAATTAAAATTTTAAATTGTTGTTTTATTATTTTGAAAAAAAGTTTCGTTTTTTTTAATCTCTTTATTTTACATTTAGTTTCCAATAGTTATTGTTGGAAATAAAGTTGATCTTTCAGATTCACGCGAATGTGATCATGCAGTTATAAATAAATGGGCTAACAAAGAGAAAGGTTTTTTTTTTTTGCATTTTTTTTTTTTTTATTGCATTGAAACATTTTTTAGCGACTTTTAACATGTACTGTACAGCCCTCGGAATCAGGGTTGGCTTTTGGCAATACCAATCTAACTGCCTGCCTAAAAGTGACTGAGGTTGGAAATTTTTTTCCAGCCTTGATTCTATTTTGTTAAGGTGAAACCTTTGTGTTAAAAATATAGTGCTGACATGATGCTAACCAAATATAGTTTAATGTCGTCAATTTATTGCTGACCTTATTTTTTCTAGTTCCAAAGGCTGACTAGCTTTTTTTAATTTTTGTTTTTCATTTAAATTTTTTTTTATTTTGAATGTTTTTCTGTTCTTTTTTTTCAATTTTTTATTTATATAACTTTTTTAGTAAAACTTTTTGAAGTACTGCCTATGAATCGGAATACATTACAAGAGCCAATCACTTTTCTAATGAAAAAAATTGCTTCTGGTTACGGTATCTCTTTTTTATATAATGTAGAAATATAAGAAAATAGTAACTTTTGTACCTGTTTCTACAGAAATCAGTTGATGTACATTTGCAATGATGTTCTTTTTACTGAGCATAAAAAACAAAAACAGAAATTTTTTAAAAATTGACAAAATTAGTATTGACATTTTTTTTTAAAGGAGATGGAGCCGAAGTTGTTTAAAAATGATCAGCTTTTTGGCTTTAACTCAAATTCTCAATTCAATTTATCAGTTTTGTAGATGTCATCTAGAATTTAGTTCTTTTATTTAGAAGTTAGTTTAGCATGTAGTCTTTTAAATGTTTATGTAATTTAAGTTTACCAAATACCGAGAAATACTGTAGAGCAATTCAAAATTACATCGAAAAATTTTAGTAAATTTGATGTTATAACTTAAGAATCGCAAATAAGAAATAATAAATTGAGTTAAATAACAAATAATAAATAATGAACATACTAATTTTAAACGGTATTTCACTTTTAAATTTTCACAGTAAATTTGGTATTATCAATTTCCAGTGACACAATAATGTTATATATATATATATATATATATATATATATATATATATATATATATATATATATATATATATATATATATATATATATATATATATATATATATATATATATATATATATATATATATATATATATATATATATATATATAGGGAAAGTTAAACCAGATGTAAAACTCATGTTTCGAAGAACTGGCGGTAAAAATTCGGTCAAAGATGCTGATGCTTGAATCAATTATGGTGTTTGGATGGATTTGTTAATGGTACAAAATTTGCTTTCAAAACTTCATGAAATGGTTGCTTTGTTCATAAAATAATGTCCCGTTAATGCATATGTTGTTGACAAAGAAGACTCCAAATCCAAATTAAATTGTTAACTTAAATGTCTGAAATATGACGTTTTTTGTTTTATTTACTAACATGGCAATCTAAAGTTACAATAGCAATTTATTTTTAAAGAAACATCTTTTTACTGAAAAGCCTATTTTTATAGTTATTAAGTAAAGAAAAATAACGATTTTTATTTATCTATTGTTTACTATTTTTCTATTATTTGTTTAATTTGCGAAATCATCATATAATATAAAATGTTATATTTATAGCTTTCTACGTCATTGTGTAGGTCGAGTTCGCTTTATTATGAGTGCGTTTGTTTCTTTATCACTTTGAATTAAAAGTCGTATTCAATTGTTTCTAACATTTTTCGTTTATTGAAATTTTGAAAAAAATAGTTCTAAAACGTAAATATAATTGCTTATTTCTCTGATTCGTTGCGGTTCACTACGTTTACAATAAAAATTAACTTCGAGTAAAATTTCCAAGCGCATGGATGTTTAAAAACAGTATTGAATGGCGAATCTCTTTTTTTTATTATTTTATTAGTTTTTCTTTATATTTTTGATTACAAGTCTTATATCACAGGTCAACAAAAAAAAAAAAATTCTTGTGCCAAGAGAACAATTTATTTTTCGTATAGCATTTCTCTGGTGTCCAGGAGCTCCTGTCCAGAGTCTAAATTTTTTTTACCCAAAAGTAGTTCATAAGTTTCTTTACATTTTTGGAGTTTCTGGATACTAAAAACGGGAAGAAATAGTTTTGTGACCTTCAAATCTGGAGACTTTTTTGGTACTCCACATTCCTAGTTTGATTTCAAATTAATTATTATTATTTCCTTTACGAATAACTTCATAATCTAGGTATTTATAATAATTTACAAAAACCTGCAAAAAATTTTATTTATCGAGTCGATTTTGGGTGCATATTGTCGCATTGTCGACTAGGTGTATAACTTGTGCTGCACCAGCTCTTATAATTTGTAACTTGTGCAGCACCAGCTCTTACAATTTGTTATGCTGTTAGATGAAACTATTTTTGTAGGTGATGTCAGCTTGCGCTGACAATATATATGCCCTGAAGTTAATTCATGTGTAGCAAATGGTTTTTCCCGTAGAATTTGTTTTATGGTTTTTACGCAGATGTGTGCATGTTTTAGTACGTTTGATGCAAGGAGTTTTAGAACAAAGAAGGCGGCACAAATCGCCCTCTCCTTCCCTAATTCCCTAAAACAAAAAACTTTTAGTTCATTCGACTTATCTCTGTTACATAACAATATATCGTCATTTTAAACTCATTAAATTCAATGTACTTTCAGTTCCTCTAGTTTTCTCTGAAATACTAGAAAGAATAATTTATAACAGAGTCTACAATTATTTTGTTGATACTAAACTTTTATATAATAATCAATTTGGCTTCCAGAGAAACTATTCTACTGAACGCGCCATAGTACAACTAACACACAGCATTTCTGATTCTTTTAAAAATTCTTTTTTAAAAGAATCAGAAATTCGATTTGTCTAAAGCTTTTGATAATGTCGATCACGACATTCTATAAAAAAATTAAATCTCTATGGAATTAAAGATATTAGTAATCTTAAGCAGTTTGTTAATATCCAAGAGTTTTCTTTGCCTTTATTAATGAATGTAACATGTCGTGTCCCACAGGGATCCATAGTTGGGCCCCGATTATTTTTAATGTATATAAATGACCTCAACTTAGCCTCTAACTTAACCACTATAATTTTTGCTGATGACACAAACCTATTCCAATCTCATGAAAACATAAATACACTTTTTGATAATATGACACAAGAATTAAATAAAATCTCATTTTGGTTTAAGAAAAAAAAATTGTCCTTCGATATTGATAAAATAAAATGGATACTTTTTTTACCCAATATTCAGAAAAAAATGTTTACCAAATACACTGTCCGACCTCTTCATTGATAATACAATACTAAAAAGGAAAAAAGTTACAAAACTTCTCTGAGTTCTTGTGGACGAAAACTTATCCCGGATTATTCATTCATCACTACCATTTAAATTATGCAAATAATGTATGGGAAAGCGCGCACAAAACTAAACTTAAATCTCTTTATCAGCATCAAAAACACGTAGCTCAATTAATTTTGTAAATCATTTTTCAAATTCAAAACTACTTCTGAGAAAAATGAAAGCCTAAAATGTATACGAACTAAATGTTTATAATATTTTATGTTTCATGTTTAAGTGTAAAAATCATTTATCTCCTGATGTATTTATAAACCTTTATAATGTAAAACCCATATTCAAATACAATCTTCGCGATGGAAAAAATCTACAAGAACCTTTCTGCCCGAAAGGTTCTTGTAGATTTTTTCCATCGCGAAACTAAATTTGAAAAACTAATTATTTCTTATCGCGGTCTTTATTTATGGAACAAAATAGTTTTGCCAAGTTTTGATTTGTCATTGAACTTTAACTTTTTTCAAACGAAAATTAAAAGAAGTTATCAGCAGAAAATATTTTTCCTTGTTTTTAGTTCTTTTGTTTCATATATTCCATATAAATTATCCAGTATATTTATATTATAAATGCACAGTTATATATAGTTTATCGGGTGGACAGGGAAAAATCCGGTCAACTTTAAATTGAGATTTCTCTAAAACCATAAATGCTTTTTATTTCAATTTTTTTATTACTAAATGCGTTTACATAAATTAGAGTTTCAACTTAACTTTAAGGAGCTTGATGGGTTGTTTGGCAAGAAATCGAACTTTATAGCGGGTTGATGCCATCATTTCACAGATTTTTTCTTTTTTCACCATATTGGTGGCATTAATCTACTTTTTTTAGAAGTCCTTTTTATTATTTGTTACTCCACCTGTCTTACGAATAACTCCTTTAACTATTGCCCAAAAATCTTGCGCTCTTCAGGACGATTTGGAAGATTCGCATCTTTAGTAACAATTTTCACATTATTATCTTTGCACCACTGTAAAACTTTTTGAGAATAGTGAGAGGCAGCAAGATCGGGCCAAAAGAGACATCGGTATTTGTGTTTTTTTATAAAAGGCAAAAGTCTTTTTTGGAGGCATTCTTTGATGTAGAGATAGGCAGTCAAGGTGTTTTTAGTGACAAAACAAGAGGACTGCATACGACAGTTACAAATTGCTTGCCACACAAGAAACTTGGATGGAAATTTTTCTCGTCGAATATATTTAAATTGATCATCGACAGGTTTATCTTTGTTTTCATAGTAAAACTGTTGACCAGGAAGTTATGAAAAATCCGCCTTGCAATACGTTTCGTCGTCTTCAATTATGCACATATTTTTATCCGCCATTATTTTAACCAACTTCTTTGTGCGTCGAATTACTTTAATTTCACAATTTAAGCTTCTCTTAGGTGTATTTTTTTATGAAATGCTTTAATTCCAGCATTTTTAAGTACTTTTTTGATATAAGAACGAGAAGTCTTAAATTTTCTTGCTAGATCTCGCTGCGACTGATTTGGATTTCTTGCTATTGAACGTAAAGCTGACTTTACCTTTTTGGATTTATGGAAAGTTTTTTTTCTTCCACTTCCAAGTTTTCTTTCGAAGCTTTGAGTAGTCTTGAACTTGTTTATAATATCTATGACTGTAGATTTTGGGACATTTGTGCGTTTAGCAATCAAGCGATAGGAAGTCGATGGATTTTATCAAAAAAATTCACAACTTTTTTACGCACCTCAACTTGTTTCCAAAACATTTTGCAAATAATTAATTTGTAAACAAAAATTTATCAACACCATTTGAGATAAGGAAGTAAGGTTTAATTTAAAAAAAATTAAATAAAAAGCATTTGTGGTTTTGGAGAAATCTCAATTTAAAGATGACCGGTATTTTCCATGTCCACCCGATATGTTGATTTATTTTTATTGGTTAATTTGATTTTATTGTTGTTATTATTATATTTGATATTGTAAAGGGCTTTATAATAAGATCGTATGATCTTCTGGAAGTCCTATTGATTATCTTTGTAATAAAGCTATTCTTTAATTGTAATTTCTTTTATTGAAGGCAAATAAACCCAGCAAACATGTCAGCGTTGAATCAACGTTAAAAACCGGTCGCAAAAGATGTTGCGGAAACGTTGACAAAGTAATCGATTTTGCAAAGATATGTAACGTTGTTAAAGAGACGTTGATTAAACGTTGTAGCGTAACGTTGAAAAATCGTTACTAAAAGACGTTACAAAAATGTCGCAACTAAACGTTAAAAAAGCGTTACTTAAAAAGCGTTGCATAGGCGTCGCAACTTAACGTTGAAAAAACGTTACTTAAAAAGCGTTACTTTAGCATTGTTAAAGCAGTTGATTTTGCAAGGATTTGTAACGTTGGTAGTAAAACGTCGATTTAACGTGACTCAAAGACGTCGAGTTAAGGTTGAGTTATAACGTTAAATCAACACTCAAATACGCTGGAGAAAATATCTCAAAATATTATTAAACGTGATTAAACTTGGCTATAATGTATATTAAATTTGCAAATAAAACAAAATTGTATGTTGAACTCTGCACTTGCAATATTTCTAAAGTCGATTTTTAATACAAATAGTAATATACAATAAAAAACATAAAAAAAAATACAATTTATTTAAATAAAATTTACAATTTATAGATAAAAATATAAACATCTTTTTTAAGATTTATGTGTCTGAGTGAATTTACAGGATTTACGTGTGTGAGTAAAATTTATGTGTGTGAGTGGATTTACAGGATATCGTATCGATAAGCCAGGATATCATTGAGATACAGAATCAAAAAATAAAACTTGTATCATTATTATCAATCTGAAAGCAAATGTTTAAAAAATGTTATTGAATTAGTATGATCATTATTAAATTTAAAAAATAAATATATATATATATATATATATACATACATATATATATATATATATATATATATATATATATATATATATATATATATATATATATATATATATATATATATATATATATATATATATATATATATATATATATATATATATTGTGATCGTCGTAATAGCATAAAATAAGTAATTGTTTTTAAAAACAACAAGACGTTTTTATTCTTGAAATGTTTTGTAGTAAACAACTGGGGTTGATATTTGAATGGGGCCGGGGCCAGGTTTGATAAAATATATCCGGGGCCAGGGCCGGTTTTGAGACCAGGCTGTATAAACATTTATACATCCTAAAGTATATTTTTTAAATTTAAAATTCATGCTATATTTTGTATATATATGCATATATGAACATCAGTGTGATCAACATGATCATCATTATCATCATAACCATCATAATCATCATCATCATCATCATAATCATCATGATCATCACTATCATCAACAGCATAAAAGCGGAAAGCTTGACAATGATAATAAAAATTATGTTGATGT